CTGACAACTAGAGGTGCTACTAACTAGTTAACTATAAACTGTAATGGAAGCTGCTAGTTTAATGTTGTTCTGCAGAGTTCTGATGTTCTGATTCTGATCAATAACAGGCTTCAACCTAAACAGCTGCAAACAGTGAAAGTTGTTTGAATGAAAGTTGGTGTAAAACCTTCTTGTGTATGTTTGTGAAGTTTAGCCCAGAAGATGCTTCTTTTCCAGGGTTCTGATGGCGGTTCTGGGTCGTGTGGTCTCCACACAGAACCTCCATGTACCCGTACCGCCTTACAAGTTGAATTTAAACACTTGTGATTTTCATTGATGAAGTCCAAAAGCTCATTGATTAAAATGCTTCAGATAACAGACGTGACTCAGGACAGCTGCTTGGATGATGCTACAACCTGTAGCTGGTAACAGAGCGTCCTATTAAATCATCACATATGAATCTGTCGGTCTGCCGTTCCTTCGGCCTCCGATGGCTGCCGTACCTGTTGGATGTCTTCGTTCTGGAGGACTGTTGCATGATGGGAACTCGTACACAGACATCTCTGCTCGTGCTGTGCAGTTTTCCACATTTCCATTCTGTGGTTTGCAGCTCTTGTTCAGATAAACGTGTTTTATTCAGTGTCAGGACTTCAACAGACATCAGAGTCAAACCGCTTGTGTTCACATACGTGGCCGATAAGCTGATTCAGAAATACAGAAACACTGATGATCTGTGAGGTGGAAACATGGCCGACTGTCCTCAGAGGTCAGGACGTTACAGCCAGTTTTTACTCCGTATGCAGAAACACTGATCATGGAACTGGTTTAAATCCAAGGCAGAGATGAGGCTGATTTCATTCTTTATCTGACGTCACGCTGCTCAGATTTCTTCTCAAGTTCAAGACTTTAACAAATGCAGCTGTAAGGACTCTGCTGGAGCTTCACCAAGTCACAGCCGATACTGACCAGGTTACAGGAGAGATTCGCTCTTTGCTGTGAGTCGCTTTATGTCGACATGTCTGAAGTATAATCAGGGCCAAGCACTACCTCTCTACACTGGTTTCACTGGTGCACCAGCACCCAGACATTTAAAACCATCAGCAGCAGGATAACACATGTTTAAGTGTAACCTTGTTTTTTATGAGCTCCTGTATTTGCTTTATTAGCATATGATATAAATGACTGGTAACAGAGGAAAAAGGTGCAAAGTTTCATCATCGTGAACCTTTTTCTTGTGTCCCTCCAGACCTCCAGTGTGGCTGCAAGGAGAAGGTGGTTCTGACTGACCAGCAGCTCTGGAACCAGGAGAGGAGCTCCAGTCTGGACCAGCAGGAACCAACGTCTCTGCAGATTAAAGAGGAA